GATATGAGTTATCCGGAAGTGAACCGGCGGTGCGCGGAGATTCCGGTCGGTAGCGAAGGCGTGTTGATGCTGCCTTTCGGCAACGGGGCGGAGCGTATGCTCGGAAACCGTTATACGGGGGCCGAAGCGATCGGGCTGGATCTCAACCGGCACGATCGTTTCCACCTGCTCCGCGCCGCGCAGGAGGGGATAGCTTTTGCGTTCCGCTACGGGATGGACGTCCATGCGGGAGACCGGTTGCGGCTCCGGGTGATCCGGGCCGGGTATGCGAATCTGTTCCTCAGTCCCGTGTTCCGGCAGACGTTGGCTACCCTGTGCGGCGCCGACATCGAATTGTACAATACCGACGGGGCTTTGGGCGCCGCCCGGGGCGCGGCTCTCGGCGCCGGACTGTACGCTTCCCGGGAAGAGACGTTCGCGTCGCTCCGCAAGATCGACGAAGTGCGTCCCGATCCTGCGGACAGGGATGTGTTGGAACGGGGATACGCGCGCTGGAAAGCCGAACTGGAAAACCGGCTCGGCCGCGCGTCGCACGGAACTTCAGTTTGAAATTTATCTTTAAAACAATACTAAATCGAATCAAACGATGATGGAATCCATGTTTTCAAAATTCGGCAAGATCGGGTACGAAGGGCCCGATTCGAAAATCCGCTGGCGTTTCGCTGGTACGACGAGAACCGGGTCGTGGCGGGCAAGACCATGAAAGAATACCTTCGTTTCGCGATCGCTTACTGGCATTCGTTCTGCGCCGACGGCAGCGATCAGTTCGGAGGCGGCACCCATCGTTCCCGTGGGACGGTATCGCCGATCCGGTGGAGCAGGCGAAGGTCAAGATGGATTCGGCTTTCGATTTCTTCGTGAAAATCGGCGCTCCGTACTATTGCTTTCACGATGTCGATCTCGTCCGCGAAGGCGGCTCCGTAGCCGAATACGAGAAGAATTTGCAGGCTGTCGTGGAGTATGCCGGGCAGAAGCAGCGGGAGACCGGCGTAAAGTTGCTGTGGGGGACGGCCAATGTGTTCGGTAACGGTCGGTACATGAACGGCGCGGCGACCAATCCCGACTTCGCGGCGGTTTCGCGCGCGGCCGTGCAGATCAAAAACGCGATCGACGCGACCATCGCTCTCGGAGGCGAAAATTACGTGTTCTGGGGAGGCCGCGAAGGGTATATGTCTCTGCTCAATACGGATATGAAACGGAGAAGGAGCACCTGGCGACGATGCTGACCCTGGCCCGCGACTACGCTCGTAAAAACGGGTTTCAGGGGACGTTCCTCGTCGAGCCCAAGCCGATGGAACCGACCAAACACCAGTACGATTACGATACCGAAACCGTGATCGGCTTCCTGCGTCACTACGGCCTGGACAAGGACTTCAAGGTGAATATCGAAGTCAACCACGCCACGCTGGCCGGTCACACCTTCGAGCACGAACTGCAATGTGCGGCCGATGCGGGGATGTTGGGCAGTATCGACGCCAACCGGGGCGACGCGCAGAACGGTTGGACACCGACCAGTTTCCGATCAACCTGCAGGAGACCGTCGAGGCGATGCTCGTGATCCTACGCAACGGCGGATTCGGTTCGGGAGGCGTGAATTTCGACGCTAAGACCCGCCGCAATTCGACCGACGCGGAAGACCTTTTCATCGCCCACATCGCCGGGATGGACACCTTCGCCCGGGCTTTGTTGATCGCCGATACGATCCTGCGCGATTCGCCGCTCGAACAGTGGCGCAAGCAGCGCTACGCTTCGTTCGACAGCGGCAAAGGCGCCGAATTCGAACAGGGAAAGCTGACCCTCGAGGCGTTGCGCGATCTGGCCGCTGCGGCCGGAGAACCCGCGACCGTCAGCGGGAAACAGGAAAAATACGAGCAACTGCTTTCGATGTATATCTAATGCCGTGAGGCGGGAGCGCAGCGAATTTTCCGTTGCGCTCCCGCCTTTCGTCCAAATGAACCTGAAAAGAAAATGAATAAAAGCAACGGTTATCTGATATTTCTGACGCTGGTGGCTACCTTGGGCGGATTGTTGTTCGGGTACGATACGGCGGTGATTTCGGGGACGGTGAAATACCTCGATCTCAATTTCGTCGTACCGCTCGGCTTGGACGAAACGGCGGCCAGTTCTCTGCTCGGTTTCGCCGTGTCGAGCGCCCTGATCGGCTGTGTGATCGGCGGATTGATCGGCGGAGGATGGCTACCCGGCTGGGGCGTAAGCGGAGCCTGATGGCGGCCGCCGTCCTTTTTATCGTTTCGGCCGTCGGGTCGGCCTATCCCGAAATGGGATTCGGCGACGGCGATCCGCACGAGTTCCTGCCCCATTTCATCGTCTACCGGATCATCGGCGGTATCGGGGTGGGGCTGGCTTCGATGCTGTCGCCGATGTACATTGCCGAAATGGCGCCGGCGGCCGGCGGGGCAGCCTGGTTTCGTGGAACCAGTTCGCCATTATTTTCGGAATGCTGGTAGTCTACTTCGTCAATTACGGCATTGCGCTGAGCGGGGACGAGCAGTGGCTTACGACGACGGTTGGCGGTTGATGTTCCTGTCCGAGGTGATTCCGGCTTCCTGCCTGCTGCTGCTGATTTTCTGCGTTCCCGAGAGTCCGCGGTGGTTGGTGATGAAAGGACAGGATCGAAGAGCCGCGGCGATCCTGCGCCGCGTGGATCCCGCGACGGATACGGATGCCGAGGTGCGGGACATTCGCAGGTCGCTCGCGGGTTCCGTCCGCTCGAAGCTGTTCAGTTACGGCGCCGCCGTGATCGTGATCGGCGTCCTGCTCTCCGTATTCCAGCAGTTCGTGGGGATCAACGTGGTGCTGTACTACGCTCCGGAGATTTTCCGCAGTATGGGCATGGGTACCAACGCGGCCCTGGCCCAGACGATTATCGTAGGCGTGATTAACCTGTCTTTTACGGTGTTGGCCATATTTACGGTCGATCGTTTCGGTCGCAAACCGTTGATGATTATCGGCAGTCTGGGTATGGCCGTCAGTATGGTCACGCTCGGACTCACCTTCTATACGCAGCATATGGGATGGCTTTCGCTGGCCGCCATGCTGTGTTATACGGCTTCGTTCGCCATGTCGTGGGGGCCGGTCTGCTGGGTGCTGCTGTCCGAGATTTTTCCCAACCGGATCCGCGGTCAGGCCATGGCGTTGGCCGTTGCCGCGCAGTGGGTCGCCAATTACGTGGTGTCCTGGACTTTCCCGATGATGGACAAATCGAGCTACCTGATCGAGCATTTCCACCACGGGTTCGCTTACTGGATTTATGCGCTGATGGGGTTGGCCTCCGCGTTTTTTATGGTTAAATTTGTCCCCGAAACGAAAGGAAAGTCGCTGGAGGAGATGGAGAAGTTGTTTAAAAATAGTCGTTCTGCCGGCGGAACGTCTTGTCCGCAGCAATGCCGTTTCATCGCGGCGGAGGGGACAGCCGGCGAAACGGAGATTAAGTCGTTTAAAATAAAATACGGAAAATGAAGAAATTGTTATGCGGGATCGGCTTGCTGCTGTGCTGCGGGGGGACGTTGTCCGCCCAGCCGGAAGTGATCGCCGATCCGAACATTCCGATCGAGGAGCGGATTCAGAATGCGATCGAGCGGATGACGCCGAAGAGAAGGTGCGGTTGTGTTTCGGCGGAGACAAGTTCGGCGAGGTGGTGCTGCCGGGCGTTCCGCGGCTGGGGATTCTGCCCATGTACGCGGCCGACGGTCCCCGGGGCATACGCGCCGGTGCGGTGACGGTATTTCCGTCCGGGTTGGGGTTGGCCGCTACGTGGAATCCCGCGCTGGTCGAAGAGACCGGATGCGTGATCGGCAGCGAGAGCCGGGCCAACGGCATATCCATGGTATTCGGCCCTGCGTTCAACATCACCGCGATCCGCTGGGCGGGCGCTTTTTCGAATACCTGACCGAAGATCCTTTCCTCAGCGGGAAGCTCGCCGCCGCACAGGTGCGCGGGATACAGAGCGAAGGCGTTTCGGCCTGCATCAAGCACTTCGCGGCGAACGGCCGCGACCTGAATCGCAATTGGTACATGAGCAACGTAGACGAGCGGACGCTGCGCGAAATTTACCTGCGCGGTTTCGAAATAGCGGTCGAAGAGGGCGACCCGTGGGGGTGCATGACGGCGGCCAACGGACTGAACGGCGACCTGTGCAGCGACAGCAGGTGGCTGCTCAACGATGTGCTGAAGGGCGAATGGGGTTTCAAGGGACTGGTGCTTACCGATTTCTGCCACTCCCGTTCTACCGAGAAAGCGGCTCTGGCCGGACTGGATATCGATATGCCGTGGGGCGATTTCGAAACGATCAAATTCGGAAAACCGTGATGGACGCCGTAGCCCGCGGCGATGTGCCGCAGTCGGTGCTCGACGAGATGGTGCGCCGCATCCTTTGGGTGAAGTGGAAAACCGGTATGCTCGATCACAAGGATATGAAGGCGGGCGCTGCGCTCAATACGCCGGAGAATCAGCAGGTGGCCCGCCGGGCTGCCGCAGAGAGTATGGTGCTGCTGAAAAACGACGGCGGTTTGCTGCCGCTCGATATCGACAAGACGAAGAAGGTCGTGCTGATCGGTCCCAATTGCGCCCAGCGTTTCTGCGTGCTGGGACTCGGCGGAAGTTCGGGCGCTCAGGCCGTGTACGAGACTACGCCGCTCAAGGGTCTGGAAGCCAAACTGGCCGGCAAGGCCGACTTGGCCTACCTGCCGCTGACCGGGGATTCGGAATTCCAGCCGATCCCGAACGAGTGCTGGGTCGGCAAGGACGGACGCAACGGCGTTACGGCCGTTTACCGCAAACAGGGCAGCGGCGACGTGCAGCAGGAACGTATCGAGCCGGTCGTCGATTTCACCTGGTTCAACGCATCGCCCGTCCCGGGAAAAATCGAGCCCGGATACGTGCATGCTACCGTCGAAGGTAAGCTCAAAGCTCCCGTTACCGGAAACTATACCCTGCGCTTGATTACCGACGACCATGCCGAACTGTGGGTCAGCGATATGGGGGCCCAGGCGGTACGCAACGCAGAAGCGGGCGTCCCGCAGCGCAATACGGCGATGTTCTTTTTCGAGGCGGGCAAGACCTACGACGTCCGGATCGACTATTCGCAGTCGCCCGACGGTCGAAAAAACGCTACGGAGATGAATTATTGGGCCAAAGACAATCCTTCGCTGCGCTTGGAATGGGCCATGCCGAGCGATGCCGATATCATTGCCGGGCAGATCGCCCCGTATAGAGAGCAGTTGGCCGATGCCGATGCGATCGTTTTCGTAGGGGGCACCGACCACAACCTCGATTGCGAAGGGCGCGACCGGACGTCGATGCAGTTCCCGCAGGGGCAGACCGAACTGATCCGTCAGGTTTCGGCGATCAACGGCAAGACGATCGTCGTGCTGATGCACGGGGCTCCGATCGACCTGCCGTGGATCGACCGCGTGCCGGCGGTGCTGGATATGTTTTCCCCGGTATGGAAGGGGGAACCGCGATGGCCGATATCCTTTTCGGCGACGCCGATCCTTCAGGTCGGCTTACGTTCAGTTGGCCGGAGCGGCTGGAGGATTCCCCGGTTTACGAACTGGCGACGCAGGACGTGGACAACGTCAATTACGAAGACAGCCTGATGGTCGGCTACCGTTACTTCGATACGAAACGGGTGACGCCCCGGTACGAATTCGGTTACGGATTGAGTTATACGACTTTCGATTATTCGAAGATGAAAGTGAAAAAAGACGGGGATAACTGCGTCGTGACGTTGCATGTGAAAAATACCGGTTCGCGCGACGGGGCCGAAGTGGTTCAGATTTATGTGGGACAGAAAAACTGCCGCTATACGCGTCCTGTTCACGAACTGAAAGCCTTCGACAAGGTCTTCCTCAAGCCCGGCGAAAGCCGCGAAGTGACTTTTACGCTCGATAAGGACGCTTTCTCGTACTGGAATCCCGATCGCCGCGCCTGGGTGCGCGATTCGGACGAGTTTACGATCGAAGCCGGTCACTCCTCGCGGGATATCCGCCGGAGCGCGAAGGTGCGTTTCTGATCTTTCCGAAACGGTTATGACGAAGGCCGGCGTCCATCGGGACGCCGGCCTTCGTTCTGGAAGCGACAGACCATCGGAATCTGCGATGGTTTGTCGCGTTTACGCATCCGGATCTATTGCATGGTGCGGATCGACACGGGGCCCAGCAAGCCGCTCTCTTTGAGCGGAGCGTTTTTATCCGGCCATTTCAGCACCCAGGTTTTGCGGTCGCTCTCCGGCCGGGCGGCGTCGTATACCAGCCGGTTGAACCAGGTGTTGGTCACCTTTACCGTGATCGAATTTTTACCATCCCGGACGCGGTCCGTTATATCCAGGCTGTAAGGCGGCGTCCAGAGCGTGCGGACGAACTCTCCGTTGACATAGACTTCGGCGATGCGCTCCACGTCTCCCAGGTCGAGGATGTAATGCCGGTCTTTTTTCACCGGCCCGATTTCGAACGCGGAGTTGTATTCGGCCGTTCCGGAGAAGGCTTTGCCCTCGGGGGAAATATCCAGGTCTTTCCACGGTTTCAGATCGACCAGTTCGACCGAAACCGGCGCTCCCCAGCCTTCCGGGAATTTGAGTTCCCACGGGGCGGTCAGGGTTTGGGTCGATACGACTTCTGGCGCTTCGATCCGGGGAGCCTTCGAACCGTCCTTTCGGAAGACGACGAAGCAGGAGCCCGCCGCGGGCAGGTCGATGCCGACGCGCGTCCGGTCGTCTTTCGGCTCGGCGGGTACGTCGCGGACGGTTCCGCTTACCGGATCCCACAGTTGTACCCTTCCGCTACACCGGAAGTCCACCGTCCCCCGGAAACCTTTTCCTTTGGGCGCGCAGACGTAATACCAGTCGGCCCGGTCGGTCGTCCGGTGCAGCCACAGGACTTCCGGCGCATTTACGTCCGGTTCGATCGCCAGTCGTTTCAGCGCGTCGTCCAGCGATATGCCGGCGACGATCCGGCCTTTTCCCACGTTGCGGATGCCGGGAGCGGAGTTGCCCCAGATTTTCGCTGCGGCCGTATCCAGCCGTTTTCGGGCTTTTTTTCCGCCGATCAACGTGGCCGGACCCTGCGGGGCGTTTCCGATGACGGTCGCTCCGTCGTTTATGAGCGCATACAGCTTTTCGGCGGTCTCGGGCAGCATCCGGGTGGTTTCGGGCAGCCACAGGACGCGGTATCCGATTCCCTCGGGCGTAACGATCCGGCCGTTATCGACCTTCAGGCGGTTCAGCAGGATGTCGGTGTTGCAGTAGTCGTATTTGAATCCCGCCGGGAAGGGGATCTCCTGGTCGGGCTTGTGGTCGATCTCGTCTCCGAGGTACCACAGGATGTCGGAGACGGGTTTTCCCCGTTCGAGCAGGTAGCCGCAGCGCGCCAGGTAAGTCGTAAATTCGGGCATGTATTTCCACCAGGTCTGTCCCCGTAGGAAAGGCGTTCCGATCCCCGCTCCGGAGAAAGAGGTGCCGGGAGGCGGGAAGCCGACCTGCGGATTGTGGGTGTAAGTGTGGAAAATCAGGTGGGTGACCCCTTCCGTCGTATTGACGTTCGCAACTTCTTTGAGCATCTGGAATGCTCGTCCCACGTATGGGCGAACGAGGTGAAGGATTCCGCCGCGACGCGAGGTTTTGCCGTACAGGCGGGCTGCCGACGCCGTCGGTTTGATCGGCTTGAAGTTCAGCGAGCCTACGTACCCTTCGGAAAACGGTTGCCAGAACTCGCACATCGGGACGTCCGCATATTTGTAATATTCGAGGATGTCCGCCGGGAAAATATCGCCGGCGGCGGTTTCGTACGAGATCGACAGGCCTTGTTCCCGGGCCCGTCGCGCCATGTTGCCGAAGAAGTTTTCGGCGAAGAGGTTGCCGACGACCCTCCGCCAGTCGTTCAGAAAGCGCGCGGTCTCTTCCGGGGTGTCGATCACGTAACCGAACAGGGCCGGGATCCATTTTCGCAGGCCGTAGCCCGTGCGTTCGACGAATTCTTTTTCCATTTCCGGCGTCCATGTCTGGGTTTTTGCATTCCCACTGTCGAACAACACGCCGTTGAGCAGTCCTCCGGCCAGGGGGCCGCCGGATTTGGCGAGCCGGCCGATATATCCGTCGAACTGCGCGTCGGAACCGGCCGTCGATAGTTTGTCGCACTCCCATCCGGTGCCTTCCGCCGGGGCGGGGCCGTTCTTCATGCCGGTATTTACGTGACCGATCCGCAGGACGGTCCATTTTCCTTCGGGCGCTTTCCAATCGAGGGAGCCGTCTTCGTTCAGTTTGTCGGACAGGTCGATGATCCGGGACATTTTCACGTACGTGTCGGGAGATTGTTCGGCCGATTGTCCGTTCCGCTCGATGCTGCGGAGCGTCCAGCCGGCTTCCGATTCCCAGTTGTTCTTACGGGCCGCCGAAAACAGCCGGAGGGATTGCAGGGTCATGTCGTGTTCGTTCCTGATAACGATCCGGTATTTCCGGACTCCTTCCGTTTCCGTGCAGGCCAGCGAGACGGGACGGTCGTCCTGCCAGCTACCCTGCGTAGGTAAGTGTGCAGAATATCCTCGGCGCTGCCGGACGGCAGGATCGCCTGTACGGTCAGTTCGACTCCCGGTTCGTAACACCAGGCATGGGTCAGGCTGTTGACCGACGGGAATTCGACCGTCCGAACGACCGTTTCTTCGGGAATGTGATTTCCACCCAGTTGGGATCGTTTTCCCCCGCCGGCGAAAGTTGCATCGGAGCGTCGGCTTCTCCTTTTATGAATTTTTTCCAGTCGCCAGCTCGGTTGCTCCGGACGTCCTCCGGTTCCAGCGGTTTCCGGGTGTCGTCCGTCGGGGTCGGGAAAGCGATGACCGCCACATCGCGGTAATCCCGCCACTCCTCTTCGCTCGGCTGCGGGACGGGCAGCGTTACGTTGCTGGCCCCGGACGTGGCGTCCGTCCGGCTCCATGCCAGATGGCGCATCGCCTGTTCCGGTTTGATCCACGGGCCGCCCGCCATCGCCCAGCCGGGACATCCTTGCATCGTAAAGCGCAGTCCCAGCCGCTTGCACTCCTCTGCGGTATGCCGGACGGCATCGTCCCACAACGGACTGAGGCAGGCGATCTGCGATTCCGTGCCGGGCCAAACGCCGCCGAACTGTCCGTGGAACAGTTGTATTCCAGAAAAGCCGGCCGCCGCGATCGCTTCCAGGTCGGCGGTAATTCCTTTCGGGGATACGTTGCCCCCGATGTAATGGAACCATGTTTCCGGATAAAAACTTTCGGGGGGGACGCGAAAGCCTCTTCGTCGCTTTCGCCGAACGGCTTGTTCAGCTCGTCCGCCGGAGGTACGATAGGTACTTGCGCTGTCAGGGAAGCAAAAGGAAACAGTAAAAAGCGGCATACAGCAACCGCCGTTTGGGGCTTAGTCTGTTCATGTTCGGATCGGTTAGTCGGTTGGTTTGTAAAGTCAGACGACTAAGATCGTTAAAAAAAGGAAAAATACTATTCGGTCTGCAAAAATCTTTTCCTGTTCCGCCCGTTCGATCGCTGGCGGGTTTTCCGATCGGGCGGGTGTGCCCGCGATTGCTTCACCGTCGCAATCGTTGCGCGATTATTCGAGCGGCCGTAATTTTTGGTAGGTGAATGCGATGTGCGCGGGGATATCGTCGGTCGTGACGGACCATTTCTTTTTTCCGTCCGGATCGAAACAATTCGGCGTGCCGGGCGTCACGTAATCTTTCGCATCGGTTACGAATATCTCCCGCGTGTCGAGATTGACGGCTACGCCGTAAGGGATCTGAATCGTTTTGTCCGTTCCGTCCCGGATGAAATTGCGCGAAACGACCCGCTTGGTTTTCGTATCGACGATGGCGTAGGTGATCGTGTTTTTGTTGGTGATCCAGCTCCATTCGGTGCTGTAAACGTAGAGCGAATCGCCGCACAGGGTCATGTTGCTGTTCGGCAGCAGGTCGAGGACGTCGGTAACGCGGTCCGTTTTTTACGGATACGGAAAGGGAACGGATAATCCCGGACGGGGTTGCCTGTACGGCATGTGTTGACGACAGGCTCCTGCGATAAACGTTCGATAAACACGCGGGCGCAACATCTCATAAAAAAGTAACGGCTCCCGTTTTCATGTGGTAGATGGCGCCGACGATTCCGATTTCTCCTTTGTCTTCCATTTTTTTCAGAATATCGCTTCCCGAGCGGATTCCTCGAACCGCATGTTGTATATTGCGAATACACACTTCTTTTCATACTCCGGATTGATGCATTTTTTTCTCCCCGGAATGTTTCGTTGGCGCGGGCTACGGCGGGTTGCAGGTTCGACAACATGGCGGTGACATGACCGAGCTGGACATGGTCGATGACCGATTTTATGGCGCCACAGTGTTCGTGACCCAATACGACGATCAATTTCGCGCCCGATACCTTGCAGGCGAATTCGAGGCAGCCCAACACATCCGCATTGACATAATTGCCGGCAATCCGCACCACGAACAGCTCTCCGATACCGCGATGGAATACGTCTTCCACCGGAATCCGGGAATCGATACAGGAAAGGATAACCGCTTGGGATATTGCCACAAGGCGGCTTCCCGTATCCTTTTCGTATTGTTCCGTACCGTTAGGGCTCCACCGGCAAAATCCCTGTTGCCCTGCTTTAAAATTTCGACGACTGTACCGGGCGTCAGCTTCGCCTGTTCTTCCGAAGCCAGGGCCTCGTTGTCGCGGTCCGCGGGGGACGAAACATGTCCGTGCGCGGGTTCACTCCGGTCTTCGAACGGACAGGAGTCTCCGTTACGTGTTTCCGAAAGTATTCTGTCGGGGTGGTCTGTTTTCCCGTTCATTCGGCTTTTGGCAACTACAATGGCATGTTGCCGTGCTTTTTATGCGGATTGGTTCTCAGTTTGCTCTGGGTCATTTCCAGGGCCTGGATCAGTTTGAAACGGGTCTGGCGGGGAAGGATGATTTCGTCTATATATCCTTTCTCGGCAGCCTGATACGGATTGGCGAAATTCGCGGCATATTCTTCGAGCTCTTTCGCTTTCCGGTCGTCGTCCGCGTTGCGGTAGAGAATGTTGATCGCTCCCTGCGCACCCATGACGGCAATTTCGGCCATCGGGTAGGCGAGGTTCACGTCCGAACCGGTCTGTTTGCTCGACATGACGATGTAGGCTCCGCCATAAGCTTTGCGAAGAATGAGCGTGATTTTCGGCACGGTGGCTTCGATGTAGGCGTAAACGATTTTCGCTCCGTGGCGGATGATGCCGTTGTGTTCCTGCGTACAGCCGGGAGGAACCCGGGGACGTCTTCCAGCGTGATGATCGGGATATTGAAACAGTCGCAAACGGATGAACCGGGCCGCCTTGTCCGATGCGTCGATATCGAGCACCCCGGCCAGAAATGCCGGCTGGTTGGCTACGATTCCCGCCGTACGCCCGCCCATGCGGACGAAGCCGATCACCACGTTCTTGGCGAAATGCGGCATGATTTCGTAGAAATAGTTGTCGTCGGCCACCGATTCGATCAGTTCTTTCACGTCGTAAGGTACGTTGGGGTCGGAAGGGATCAGATCCGTCAGGCGTTCGTCTTCCCGACGGACATCGTCCACGGCCGGTCGTGCCGGCGCGTCTTCGAGGTTATGGACGGCAGGAAACTCAGTAACTCGCGGATGCCCATCAGCACTTCTTCTTCTGAGTTACCCAGGAAGTGCGCTACGCCGCTTTTGCTGTTGTGTGTGTAAGCGCCCCCGAGTTCTTCCTTGGAAACTTCTTCATGGGTGACGGCTTTCACTACGTCGGGCCCGTGACGAACATGTGGCTTTTTTCGTTCACCATGAAATAAAGTCGGTCAGCGCCGGCGAGTAACATGCGCCTCCGGCGCAAGGGCCCAGGATCGCTGAGATCTGAGGGATGACGCCCGATGCAATCGTATTCTGGAAAAAAATGTTGGCATAACCGGTCAGGCTGTCGACGCCCTCCTGAATGCGCGCGCCCCCGGAATCGTTCGCGCGATGATCGGTGCCCCGTTCTTGAGGGCCATCGTCTGCACTTTTACGATCTTGCCGGCGTTGGTGAGGCTCAGCGATCCACCGAAGACCGTGAAGTCGTAGGCGTAGACGTACACCGGACGCCCGTCGACCTTGCCGTATCCGGAGACGATCCCGTCGCCCGGAATTTTCTCCTGCTGCATGTGGTAGTTCGTGCAGCGGTGCGTGACGAATTTATCGAATTCCACGAAGGTGCCCTTGTCGAGCAGCGTCTCAATGCGTTCGCGGGCGGTCATTCGGCCGGCCTGATGTTGTTTTTCGATTTTTCGGGTTCCGCCGCCGAGTTCAGCGGCTTTGTCTTTCGCGAGGAAATCTTTTAGGATCTTATCGTTATTCATTGTTTTGGTCGTTGGTTAAAATATCGAGTTTTATCAGCGGTTGGCCCGTAGCGACCGGATCACCTTCGCAGACCAGCACTTCGCGGACGGTGCAATCGCCGACTACCTTCAGGTTGCTTTGCATTTTCATCGCTTCGAATACGATCAGGGTATCTCCGTCGGTTACCCGGTCGCCCGCGGCGACGTTTATTTTTACGATCTTGCCTGGCATTGCCGCCGTGATCGTATCGTCCTGGCGCCCGTTGTCTTTGCGGCGCGAACGGAGATATTTCTCCTGGGCGTCGACGATCCCGACATCGTACGAATTGAATCCCCGGTTCACTTTGTATCGCTTGCCGTTGTCGGAACGGACGATCTCCATGTTGTACGACTGTCCATTGAAGATGACGGAACAAACCCCGTTGTCGGCAATCACGATATCGACGTCGTACATCTGCCCGTCTACAGCGATGCGTACCTGATTCCCTTCTTTTTCGACGAGTTTGCACTTCGGCGACCCGTTCTCCGATATGTATTTCCATACGTTTCGTTTTAAATTCCCATTACGCCTTTGCGTTTGCCGAATTCGCGCCAACGGTTCAGCGTGCCGGTGTCCGCCGCCGCGGGTGAACTTCCTCCGCCTCCTGTTGCATGACCAAATAGTCGATCTGTGCGGCGATCAGCACCAGGTCTTCGACCAGTCTGTCATCCGCTCCGGCCGGGAAAGGTTCCCGTAAGTAGCGGTGTATGATCTTTTCGTTTTTTTCGAGAAACGCCGTGTCGTAGCCGCCCCGGACGAAGTCGGGCGTATGCATGATGGCGTTCAGGTAAGAGATGTTGGTTTTGATGCCTGTAACTTTGTATTCGTCCAGTGCCGCGCGCATACGCTGGACGGCGTATTCGCGCGTAGTCGCCCGGACGATCAGTTTGGAGATCATCGGATCGTAGTAGACAGGAATTTCGTAACCCTCGTAAATGTAACTGTCGATGCGGATTCCGAGCCCGTTGGGTTCGGTAACCTGTTTGACGAGTCCCGGCGAAGGCATGAAGCCGTTGTCCGCATCCTCGGCGCAAATCCTGCACTCGATGGAGTGCCCCCGCTGGACGATGTCCGTTTGTCGCAGGTGCAGCGGGCGGCCCGAGGCGATGTAGATTTGTTCTTTGACCAGGTCGAGGCCCAGCACTTCTTCAGTTACGGGATGTTCGACCTGGAGTCGGTGTTCATTTCGAGGAAATAGAAGTTGCGGTTTTTGTCCACGAGAAATTCGATCGTTCCCGCCCCGACGTAACCGACTGCCCGGGCCGCCGCCGCCGCGGTCTTTCCCATTTCCTGTCGCAGTTCGTCGGTCAGGAACGGCGACGGACTCTCTTCCACGATTTTCTGGTGGCGGCGCTGTACCGAACACTCCCGGTCGTACAGATGGACGATATTCCCGTGCGCGTCCCCCAGTATCTGGAATTCGATGTGGTGCGGTTCCTCGATGTATTTTTCGATGTAGACTGTTTCGTCCCCGAACGACGACAGAGCTTCCGATTTAGCGGCGGCGTACGCCTCGCCGATTTCGCTTTCCGACCGGATCAGGCGCATACCCTTGCCGCCGCCGCCGGAAGCCGCTTTCAGAATGACCGGCAAGCCGATTTCTCGGCAGATCCGTTCCGCTTCAGTGGCCGATTCGAGTTGGCGCTGGATGCCGGGCACCACGGGCACGCCGGCTTCCGTCATCGACCGGCGGGCCGAGATCTTGTCGCCCATCCGTTCGATCGTCTCCGCACGCGGGCCGATGAACGTGATTCCCGCCACTTCGCATTTTCGTGCGAATCCGGCGTTTTCCGATAGGAAACCGTATCCCGGATGGACGGCGTCCGCACCGCATTTCAGAGCTGTTTCGATGATTTTATCGACGTCGAGGTAACTTTCTTTCGACGGAGCCGGGCCGATGGGATACGCTTCGTCGGCCAGCATGACGTGTTTCGACATGCGGTCGGCTTCGGAGAAAAGAGCTACCGAACGGATTCCCATTTCGCGACAGGAACGGATGATTCTGACGGCGATTTCTCCTCGGTTGGCTATAACGATTTTTTCGATCATTCGCTATATGATTTAGGTTTTACAATAGGAGCATACCGGGGATTGATCCCTGTCGAGTAGAAGGTCTCCCTGAGTATGCGAAGGCAGTCGTTGCATAGGCAATCGTCGTAATTATCCGCTATGAACCGACGCTGGGCGTCATCCAGAGCCACGCCCGCGCAGAGGCAATCCATAACAGCATCGAGGGAACATGCAAAACGTGTTCCGCAACGAGGACAAACTTTTTCCATCGTTATCACACACCGCAAACGGTCTGCATTCAGCAGAACGATCCGGATTAAAAAAAATGATTAAACTTTCCACGTTTTAACATCCAACCCTCGGGACGGTAAACATCACCTGAACCGCAGGTCTTCTGACTGACTCCCGTCCTGATGCCTTCCCGACGTTATCGTTTGCCGCCAGTGGCCATTCAGATCGTTTCAGGACGTTGTTCGGAGTTTCACAGCAGCGGGACTGTCCGGGATTCGCACCCGTTCCCTTTTATCGCCTTTCTCTGAGTG